ATAAGTATGTATATAGGTGGCAGGCAGGCAGACAGGCAGGCAGGCAGGCAGGCAGGCAGGCAGGCAGGCAGGCAGGCAGGCAGGCAGGCAGGCAGGCAGGCAGGCTGGCAGGCAGGCGGGCAGGTAGGCAGGCGGGCAGGTATTAAAACGATGACTGTTTATTATGACTGCGCTATATGATGACTGTTCATCATGACTGCGCTACATGATGACTGTTCATCATGACTGCGCTACACGATGACTATACATCATGACTGCACTACGCTATGACTGTTCATCATGACTGCGCTACACGATGACTGTTTATTATGACTGCGCTATACGATGACTGTTCATCATGACTGCGCTACACGATGACTGTTTATTATGACTGCGCTACACGATGACTGTTCATCATGACTGCGCTACCTGATGACTATACATCATGACTACGCTACCTGATGACTATACATCATGACTGCGCTATGCTATGACTGTTCATAATGACTGCACTACACGATGACTGTTCACCATGACTGCGCTACCCGATGACTATACACCATGACTGCGCTAAGCTATGACTATTTATCATGACTGCGCTACAAGATGACTATACACCATGACTGCGCTACACGATGACTATACATCAAATGCTACGTGTAACTCGTGAGTGGCGACTGAATAAACCGAGCTCAGCTGAGCAGCGCAACGATGTTCGCCTCAATTACTTTCCACGAACGTGCGAGAAGCGAAATGACGTGAGCGCGTGATCGCACGGAAGGCCCGGCTTGTAGAAGCATGTATGACAACGCAGTCGGCACATCATGGCACGGCGTACGCCACATGTCACGCGCGTGGTGAGCAGAGACTAAATATAGAGAGAAGGTCGCGTTCTTTCAACGAGCGGTTTCTTCGTTTGGTCGCGTCGTAAAAAGTCTGTTTCATCTGCCGACGCCGTGAACGACACCCACCACAACCACATCAATACCTATCACACACACTGACGCGCGAACACACCACACACACACACACACACACAAAATCGACGCGCCACACCACACACACAACACACACACACACCGGCGCGCGCGCACACACCACACACACACACACAACACACACACAGAGCCACACACACACAACACACACACACACACACACACCACACAAACACACACACAACACACACACATTATATATTATATATAATATATATATATATATATATATATATAGAAAGGCAAAGCATAGCCTGGGTTGCTTTCGCGACCAAAATATGATATATTCATGTTTCAGAATAATGTAGAGAATAAGAATTGCTATTCAATAATGCTGTAGTAGAGCATGAGTTTCATAAGGAGAACACAGTTAAAATAACGTAAACGACTACTGCAATGAAAACTGTCTTACATTGCTGTTTTTTTTAAACAATGTTAATTGAGAAAATAATAATAATAAAAATAAAAATAATTAATTGAGCAGTAATTATACAATGTTTAGTCAAAAAATGAAAGTGAACATAACGAAACACAACATATGGTAACGTAACGTAACATAACTATAACCTATTAATATCATGAATTATCATAAAATAGTAATGCACTAAGGACAGTAATTTTCAAATAAGTGAATAGTATAGAAGACCGTGAAAAACGTAAACATAACATATATAATCACCGTAACTTAGCCTCACTGTATTGGGGGAACGCTTAAGGGATAACGTAAACATTGCAGCAGGGCCTACGGTATCGGTGACAATGTATCATAGTGCAACTTTATATGGCAGTGCAAAGAAAAGACACAACGAAAATATTGCAAGCTTTGCGAAACATTTTACGAAGTAGACGGGCGAAGTTTGTCATTCTAATTCGCTTTGTGTAGTGCTTGCCCCGAGCCACGTTGTCACTATGGCAACAAACCAGCGTAAGCCAGTTGGCGGAAATCTGTTAGCTGCATGGCTCATTCCGCTTTTCCGTGTTTCTACAAATTTTGTGCATCTTTTAATATAATATAACAAACCCTATACCCATTTGCCGGTAGCGCGTCCAGTAGTAATCGCCACTTACACGGGTATTTTTAGGCTTAGCTAGTTCAGGAGGGACCCGGCACCCAGGCCACGACGATCGTAACGCTTATGTAATATTAGCACCCTCAAGAAACGCGCTATTTCAGGTCTAAAGTATAGACAATCCGTCGCACAGCCTGGTCCGGGCTAATCGCTACATATAGAATATATATACATCATATCATATATATTATATATATATATATATATAAATATATGACCACATTTTGTCTGTTATTCGACAGATTGTTTAATCGATTATGATATATGTCGGGTCGTGCGGCCAGCGCGTGTAACGTTAGAATAATTAGTGTGAGTAATAGTAGACACTGGCCTATCGATCCCGCCGTATCCGTGTCATCTTGAATATTCAATAGCCCGCGAGGGGAGCTCCCGTTCTAATCTGCTTTTGGAGTCCACCCCTGTTTCCGGATGGGACCGCACCATCATGCAGCGGAATCAGTCACTGGGCAATCAATAAACGCCAGCTCCGGCCCGAAATCACCGCAATCTAGCGAGATGCGGATCAATGGACCGTCTCTCTCGGGCCGCACACAGACCTCGTGGATACGCGACAGCGTAGTCACCGAGTCCATGGAGCGAGCGTCAACATTAAACAATGCCCGCAATGTAAATATCGGCCGGTGGTGGCGCCGCAGTTCCCCGGCAGGCAAACCATGTGCGTAGCAAAGGCTCGCGACGTGCGCACGCGACGCGCGGCTTGTTCGCTACAGCTGTGGACACACTAGCCGATTTTTCATGCGATTGAGCCACCCGGCTGAATGATGATGATAGTCACATGATTGAAAATGTCACCGTTTGATTGGCTGATAAATTGTACATTCGGGCGCGCCATAGATATACACAACACATAATTATCAAAACATTTTTGATTCGGGCGACTCAGCCGGTCGACTCGAAAATCGACCGCGACTCACTGGACACACTAGAGGCGATTTCAGCCGGCCGGCTCAGCCGGGCGGCTCGACCGCATAAAAAATCGCCTAGTGTGTCCACCCCTTTACACAGATAACCAACCGCCTTGCGACGACGAGGTTTTGACCGTTTTGTTGTAACCGTCTTGTTCATGTTTCACTGAAATTCACGTTGCTGTCGGTTGAGAGTCGACGCAGAGCCTTTAATATTTTTTTTAAGCTCAGTTTAGTTTCGGTTCTAATCAATTGACGTGCTCAGCTGAATAACCAACTATTCATGAGAAACGTCTAAAAAGTTAATTTCTAATAGTGTATAGATTGATTAGCAAAATAGGTATATAACGTAAGCGAAATTATTTCGTATGATTATTTTTTCTATTAATCATTTTAAATCAATCTAAATTCGATAAGGATCAATATAAACAGCTGCGCGTGTAGATATGATATGCCAGGTAGGACGCATCGCAGTCTGCGGATGTTTAGTAGACGTGCCTATCCGGTATAACTATGAATTACATCCTGATGTAGGATGGGTACATTATTCTCTGGTTTATACGCCAAACTGCCAACGCCTTTGAACTAAATTTGCCGCATGTAACGATAGCAACATTTGGGAAATGTTGTTTGTTGTCGTTTAACTTATTACCACGAAATTATGAGGGTGGGGGGGGGAGAATTCGCCGGGTTGTGGAGCGGACCGCGCGTTATGCATAGTGCATGATCAAACTGTGAAGACAGGATACACGCGCTAACAGGTGTTTAGCGAATACGTGTAATTCGGTTAAAACATGGCATTGTTGGTAGCCATTACAAAGATTAACGTCGACGTGATGAATATTTATGTGAAAAGAGTCATAACTTATCTGGCTAAGATATTCCTGCTCGCACCTGCTCTCTCTCGCTCTCTCTCTCTCTCTCTCTCTCTCTCTCTCTCTCTCATGATCAAGCGCTCTCTCTCGCTTTCTCTCTCTCTCTATTTCGCTCTCTCTGTCCCTTTCTCCCAATTTCTTTCTTTTCCTCCATCTCTCACCCTGTCTTCCTCGCTCTTCCTACCTCCCTCTACTCTTTCCCTTTTTTTCTACTTCCTCCGCTCTCTCTCTGTCTCTCTTTTTCACCCTCTTTATCCTTCCCCTCTCTCTCTGTCTCTATCGGCATAGTCTAACTGAAACGTTCCCAGGCGAGTTGCTGTTAGGCGCAGACCGACTTTCTATATTCTCCCCCAGTATAATCCACGACAATTTCACGCGCGCAGTAACTATACTTACTCCCACCCATCTTTATGTTTTGTCGCATCTGTCTATCTGTTTGCCTGTCTGCCTGTCTGCCTACCTGTCTGTCTGTCTGTCTGACTGTCTATCTGTCTGTCTGCCTCTCTCTCTCTCTCTCTCTCACACACACACACACACACACACACACACACACACACACACACACACACACACACACACACACACACACACACACACACA